CAGCGGAAAACATTTCTAACACCCATCGATATCATCGGTTATTCCGTTACTAATATTAATAATATGGAACCAACTCAAATTAATTTTAAATTTGTATAGGACAATAATTTTAGAGGACGTGATTCTCAAAAATGTGCCTTGGGCTTAACGTTCCTTAAATCGATGATGATAGCAGTTACATTCTCGCATATACATACTTGTGAGTGCGTGACGCCTGATCGTAATCTTGTCCGTGGAACTAGAAATAAAAATAATCATTTGCATACGAATTTTTGGCACAAAAATCATACTGCGCAAGAAAAAATCGTTCAGTGTAAATTCATAATAGAGATTCATTTTTTTTTTTTTTTTTTAAGAAGGTAACATATATCTATGATGTAGTGCTTTAAATTTTTGATAATTTTTTTATAGCTAAACAAATTATTATTTTACAAATGTTCACTTTGAATATATTTTTACTGTCGAAAAAAAAATATTTTACATCTTCTTCTTGGGTTTATCGGCAATTAAGACCATCCCGTCACACAGCTATTTCTCCAGACATTCTTATCTGCCGCTCATGCTTTTCAATCAGGTCCTCCGTTCAGAGACTCCTCAACCGTAGTCTTCACAGTGGTCTTTTACCAAGTAGAATCTTGACAATGATCACCCTTGTGGTATCCTTCTGGCTTCACATAGCATTTCCAGCTCACTGAAGTTTTTGGTTTCTAATTGTGCTTAGTATGTTTTCTTTACGGAATAGTTTTATCAGTCCATCATTTTTCCTTACTCTCCAGTTTCTTTGACCTTCACTGGTCCAAAAATCGTCTTTAAGATTTTCTTTTCAAAAACAATCAGTTCATTTTTCTCAGCTTTTTCAAATGTTTTCAGCCTCATAAATGATAGAAAAACCCTTACTTCATATCATAGATAATGTTCTTCTCTTTATATATATAAAAAAAAAAAAATGGAGCCTTAACTATAAATTTACACTTAATGATTTTGTCCAAAATAAAACGTATGATGTGAACGTACAATATTTAAATACATGTTATATAACTTAAAAGGACGTCACACCCGCATGTGTTGTCTCCGTCTGACATGCGTATAACATAGCAAATTTGCGTTCACTAATTCAAATGTAATGATGTTAGCTTTAATATTAAAGTAAATTGACCTATAATCAAACTTTAAAGGAAGAACATTATGTGTGTTTTGTTGGTCGGTTTTTCCGATATTTTAATTTTTTAGCGAGTTATGATGTTTTTTTAAATGTTATATTTTACATACTCATAACACGCTTAAAAATTAAAATATCGGAAAAACCGACCAACAAAACACAGATAATGTTCTTCCCTTAAAGTTTGATTATAGGTCAGTTTACTTTAATATTAAAGCTAACTTAATTACATTGGAATCATTCAACTCAAATTTGCTATGTTGCATGTATGTCAAACAGAGGCAACACATGTGGATGTGAAGTTCTCTAAATATTTCATCAAAGAAATTACATTTTTATTCACCTAAATTTTAACATATTTTTAATTTTTTTTTTTTTTTTATTTTATTGAGTGGTATTAAAAATCTTCATATGTAAATGCCGACGTCTAAAATGTAAATACTAAATCACTAGTTAATAGCTTTATTATTTTACTTTTCACCGGAAACTGTTGTTCAATTTCTATAAAAGTATTTTTCCTGTATAGTCAATAATTCAAAAGCTTAAGAATTATACGTGGTTTCTTTCGAGTTGCGATGACAGTTTATTACACATATACTTAGTTGCAACCGCAATGCAATTAATTTCCATTGTGCATGTATTTTATATTATCGTAAATTAAAATTCCCAAGGAATGTCTGATCGCTTTAACCCGATCAAGCCATGACGTATGAGCCATACGCGATCGAGGTTCGTTCAAATATAATTTCATACACTGGCATTTATATTAACATCACGTAAATCGATAATCGGTTTATTTATTCGGATTCTTTTCCGGAGCGTTATGTGCAGCGCACATTATAAATTAATATTTATTTTGAAAACAATGTTACCCCGTTGTCATCGACCGATAACATAAATTCGTTATATTGCCCTCGGAACGACGTGCCCCGCGCACGGCCGTCGAAATGATGGCACACCGATTAGACGGTAAAAACGTACACCGACTACCGGTCTGTGGTGCGCAGCTATTACTGTTGCGATAAAACAATATCACATGTTTCCGATCGAAAAAATAACAATATAAAGAAAAAACGAGTATATCCCGCGATGAGACCTGTTGCACGCTGACCGATTGCCCGGAAACAATTGACCTTTGCATCAATAACCGGATATACATACACTTTCGGCGTGACGGTTAGGTATGGGTATTTATTGTTTCACAGAGTGTTGTGAACACGCAGCAACGCACTTCTGAATATTTTTAGGGTTTAAAATGTGTGCCAATGTTTGACGTGTATAAAAATTTATCCTATGTAAATCATGTCTCAGTAACGTTAGACGATAACAATATTACATTACTATACGTTATGTACTACATATTACAACTGCTACGACAAAATTCTAGACACGTGACCATTTATTGGTCGATACAAGACGAATAAATTTAAATTTACCAAATGAAAATATTTGTATGTGTACTAGTGCTCTGCACGGTCCGTTATTTTAAGGACCAGACCAGACTTCAAATTATACCAGGAAACTGAAGTTAGACCGGACCACACTTAAACGTTAATCAAAGACTAAAATTGGACCAAACCAACGACTTCATATTATTTTTAGACCGGGCCGGACCAGTAATTAAATAAAATTTAATAAAGTAGACCGTAAACCGGACTTTCGATTTGATCTTAAAACATTTTGAACCGTTTATGGACTGGTCCATAATAAGGTAAGGTTCAGTCTGTATTAGCCCAGACTGTACTATATGATGCGTTAAATATTACCCTGAAGCGGTCTATCCGACTTTATAAATAAATATTTACCTAAAGTTGTAGGTTTTTCTCATTTTATTTGTTTACATAACAATATCTGTATTTAGATTTTAAGTACCATGATTGGGACCTGACTGCGACCGGACCAGACTGATTTTCATTTTATTTTTTTGAAACCAAACTGGACTGAAAATAATACATTTAATCTGAAGACTGGACCGAACTACTCCTAAAAATGATTAAACTGAACCAAACCGACAAATTAATAGTTTTTGTATGTTAGGACCGTACTAGACCGAACCACGGTCCGGTCCGGTTTGGACCGGACTAATTAAGACTGGACCATGCAAAAAACTAATGTGTACCTACACGAATCTAATTAATTTTCTATTTCACAAAAATGTAAATCATTTTTATCCGATCGGTGTTAATGTTTGCCTCTAGGTACACATTAATGACATAATTTAATTATAACACGTTTTATTCATACTTAACGTCGGTAAAAATACTTTTACGAACATTTTTATTGAATCAAATAAAATTTACGAATTCGACAAGTGATTCACGTGCTTCTATATGGCTTATATTTAAATTAATTTGATATATTATTTATTATTGTATCTACCAAACGAAGGATAATGTAATAGAAAAATGACTTCTTATCTTTAAATCACTTAAATTATTTTTATTATATGTACTCAGTACATGATATTAAAATGTTTTTAATGTATAGAACCCATGGCCGTATTCAGGGGGAGGGTTTTCCGGGTTCAAACCCCCCCAAAATTTGTTCAACATTTTTTTTTTTGCCTATCCACTTGATGTTTTTTTTCTGTATTCAATTGAAATTCAATAGAAAAGTGTTTCTTAATCCATCGTCTAAGTCGCACATAAGGTAAATTATTATCCCAGACGTATTATTATTGTGTAAATAAAATAGAATTGTCTACGTGAATGTCTACGCGCAAAAATTGAATCTAAAACAGTGCACTGCTTTACGACGGGTAAAACTATGTATACAATGAGATAAGATCACGACTGACGTTATCGTTGACGCCTGCCCATAGCTTTGGCTGTTCATATGGACGCACCAGAGTATTTACGTAGTTATTTTTAGTATTCTTCAAATTTTGATAGTGTACATACCTTATCAGAATAATCGTCGATGTTTAATTTCAACTCGAATAGAACTAATTCGGATAACCGATTACCGAATCATTTTTCTTTTGGATTCTCGTCATACAACACACCACGGCGGCGCGCCGTAAACATTGCTGTTAAACGTTTCTATTGATCTGAATTCCGTAAGTATATTTACTACCATTTTTTATTTAATAGTTTTAGAGTTATATTATTTATAAAATATCATAGCTCATTTATTTTATACCAGTTTATATGTTGGACAGTTAATGTAATTATGTATCTGCATAGTCTCTATATTATAGATATCAGTGGTATTTATTCAGTGTGCAAGTTATGCATTAACGCCCAACTCTAATTATACATATTATCATTTATCAATCCTATTTATTTTAATCTTTTATTTTATTTATTTATTTTATTTTGATATGTATAATATTATGTAGCACATCTTGTAATTATTGTAATTTTTTGTGTAAGAAAATTAATGTCACAAAAAAAATTACTTTTATAAAATATCTTCATTTATCTTATTCATCAATATACAATTTAAGTGGCATTTAGGTTGGTTTTAGACATTTTAAACAGATATTTCCCAAATAAAATTTTTAGTTATAACAACTCCAAAATATCTATAAACACGGGCGAATTCTCACTTATGCACAATATGTTTATTTTTAGAATTAATACACAAAAATTAAATACCGAAAATGAAACGAGTTCAAAGACAATTGGACATCACTGCATTTACACAAATAAAAATAAATAAGACAAACAATCCAAATTCTGAATTTCAACCAGTTGAACCTACTAATATTAATTATTCGAATAAAGATGTTTCTATTGAACAAGCTTACTTAGAAGAACTTCCCTCAGTTAGCAAAAATAGTACTGATATTCACAACCTTACTTCAATACATAGCAATTATACTCCTTCTGTTTCTACCATGTCCAATAATTTTACTAAAACACCCATAGTTGGAGTAAATGATATTGGTAATTATGTCCATAATTTAGAAATTAACGATTTAAAAAAAGAGGAACTCTTAAAAACTCCGTGGGTTCCTTCTTCAACATATATTTTCCCTGTAAAAACCAAAATAAATTTACGATTTCAATTATCTTGGATAAAACGATTTCCATGGCTTAGTTATTCACAATTATTTGAAGGAGCATTTAGTAGACTATGTGTTTTGTTTGCTCGAGAAAAAGGAGGTAATGGTAGCCATCAAAAATTAGGTGCACTTGTTTCTAAAGAGTATACTAATTGGAAAAATGCTTTGCAAGACTTTCAATTACATGCTACCACATCTTATCACAAATTGTGTGTCGAGAAATCTGATAGTTTTTTAAAAGTGAATGAAGGAATATCTAAAAATATAACTGAACAACTCAGTATTGAACGTTCTAGACAGATTGAACAAAATAGAAAAATTTTACTTTCTATTATAAAAACCATAATTCTTTGTAGTAGGCAAAAAATTGCTTTTTGTGGATCAAACGATTATGAAAATGTAATGAACATAAATGATTTTAATGACGGAAATTTTAGAGCTCTTTTACGGTTTCGTGTAGATTCAGATGACACTATGCTAGGAGAACATTTGAAAAATGGTCCAAGAAATTCTTTATATACTAGTCCTGGTATTCAAAATGACATAATTTCTATTTGTGGTGAAATAATCAAGTCAAAAATTGTCCAAAGAGTAAATGCTGCCGAGTGCTTTTCTGTGTTAGCGGACGAAACTACAGATATTGGAAGAATTGAACAAATGTCTGTATGTTTGCGTTATTATGATCAAAAAGATAAAAAAATTCGAGAAGATTTTTTAGAATTTACACCGGCTGTTGATCTTAGTGGAAAAGGACTAGCAACTTTGATAATGGGGTGTTTACAGAAGAACAGTATACATTGTCAATTTTTAGTTGGACAAGGTTACGATGGAGCCTCTGCCATGAGTGGATATTTACATGGTGCTCAAGAATACATAAAAAAAGATTTTCCCATGGCACTTTATGTACATTGCAGTGCTCACTCGCTCAATCTAGCGTTGGCCAACGCCTGTTCATTGCCCTCAATAAGAAACTGTATTAGCACCATTCAAACTGTTGAAACATTTTTTCGCTCATCGGCTCAAAGAAATGAATTATTGAGAACAACTATTATCGAAACTCTTTCAGAGACAAGGCATACCACATTAGTTGCATTATGTGAAACTCGTTGGGTTTATAAGCATGAAAGTGTCATGCGGTTCAAAGAACTATATCCCGCTATTATTGTTGCATTGGAAAAATTGGAGTCATCAATAAATAAAGAAACTGCTCAAAAGTCTTGTCAGTTATTAAGTACAATTAAAGACGCTAAATTTGTTATACCTCTCGTAATAATTGAAAATATTTTTTCGTATACATTGACATTGTGTAAACAGCTACAGACAATTAATGCTGATTTAGTCGAAACATGCAATCATGTTGATGATGTGTTAGCCGTATTAGACGAAATGAGAGAAAATAACAAACAACATTTTTCAGACCTGTTTTCTGTTGTTGCCATCATGTTGAATAAAAATAAAAAAGACATTGTTTTGCCTCGTATCGCTAATAAACAAACACACCGTAGTAATGTGTTTTCTCATAGCTCTGAAGAGTATTACAATTTTAATATTTTTTTGCCATTTCTCGACTATATCAGATCACAGCTTTGTGATAGATTTCAAAAACACAAATCTTTAATAAGTTCATTACAACAAATCATTCCAAGTAAATGTATAATCGCTACCAATGAAGAAATAAACGATTGTGTAAACTTTTATTCTCAGATATTGATTGAGCCTAATGCTTTCAAAGCTGAATTTGCAATGTGGAAGACAAAGTGGCTAAAAGAAGGATCTCGCCCAAAAACAGCAATTGCAGGACTTGACAATTGTAACCCTCTTTTATTTCCTAATATAAGGAAACTTCTATAAGTCTTAGTTACTATGCCTATGTCAACAGCGACACCAGAAAGAACATTTTCATCTTTAAAAAGATTGAAAACGTATCTCAGAAATTCGACTGGTGAAACACGCCTCAATGGATTGGCTTTAATGTCAGTTCACCGGGACATCAATATTGATCCAGAAGAGGTACTTACTCAGTTTTCAAAATCATCAAGAAAAATAATGTTACTTTAAAATTAATAATCCTATAAATTGTCAAATTAAAAAATGTAAGTTACATGTTTTAATAATTATTAAATATACTTACTCTAATTATAATTATATAACTATAAAAATATTTACATGTAAAATGTGGTTGTCAGTTGAAATACCTTACGAGTAGTAAGTATTAAAGCAGAATGTATATTATATAATATGGTGAATAATATAAGTACATTTTTAAACCTAAAAACTAATATGGTTTGAATTGGTTAAAATTCTAAAAATCATGTTCTAGTTTCATCTTAAATTGAAACCCCCCCCCCCCCCAAAAAATAATGGCTGGATACGGCCATGATAGAACCTGCATCTTAAGTCCCTGAAACAATCTCAGCTTTGAGGCACCGGTACCTTGCACCTCCTGTATCCCTAATAAATCCAACAATAATTGTTAGTATTAGAATCATTCTACAATGTAATAAACACTATAAAGGTATGCTGCAATCGAATTGATTTCTAAAATGGTAAATGATTTTATTTTAAATATATTAAAATATAATTAATGATCGTAAATAATTATAGTACGGTTTATTGTGTTACGATAAATATTTTATATTTTATCGTTTTAAAAATAAGTAGTCACATTAAAAATGCAGCAGACCGAAATCCCTCGCAGACGGCACGGCGCGTTAAACAATGCATAATTCCATCAAGTTTCTATAGTTATATGTTATTTTACACTGCGCCATATACATTCCTCTAGAACAAGTTTTGTACATTCTGTGTGTTTTATTGTTATTTCCGCCGGACGTGAAGACGCAACGCAAACAAAGGCGACAGATTTCGTCAACTTTACTGGCAATTCAACATTTCTCCAAGGGTCATACTTACACATATCATTGACGCCGTCGATGTACACAAATTTGTTGTTTTTTTTTTTACTGAAATCCGTAATGTAATCGCTACGATTATTACCTTACGTGACTGTGTCACAGGATCCGCTGTCATCTTTGCAACCGTTGTTACTCTCAGAGTTTTGAAAATTGTATAACATGTAGACGCAATCATATCAAAATTTATTTATGCGCACATTTTTGAGCTCTCCTACGTGTATCCTACTTTTCACTCTCTTTTGTTCGCCAGATCCATCACTGCCACCATAAGGGCTGTAACATTTATCAGTTTTCAGAAAATTCCCTTTTGAACATAAGTTTTCCAAAAACTTTGAATATAAATAATAATCACGTCGTGCGTTTCGGAACATTTCAGATGTACTGTCCGCGTTGACATATTATTTTCATGTAGGTTAACATTTAACGTTGAGTAAAAAAAAAATAAATATTGAATTGCTTATAAACCGTTTACTATTGATTAATATTACCGTTGAGTTGTCGACGTATTAAAATATAATTGGTGACTCGCAGTATTTAAGTTTCGGTTAAACGCTTTTTGCAATAAAACAGCGACCTTATCACTTGTTTTTTTTTATGCGTCTACTTAAATAATTACAAAATCTGTATGGAAAAATCTGCCAAAACAGTCGTGCGAACTTTACATTTTTATTTTATGATAAATATTTAAAATCTCATTCATAACGATACAACTATACCTACATATATATAACTGCTATTTAACCATTATAAATTAAGCTATAACTTATTTGATTCTAATCCCCAATAGAGCAAAACTTAATAGTTATTGTGATCAATAATAATTATGAAAGTCTCCAAAAGATAATGTATAAGCACCTCTTGAGGAAATAAGTTTAATGATTAACTGTAGTTAACTTAAATACACTTTAACCATGATCGTGTTCAAGTCCTCACGGTATTAATCCCATAATGATAATAAATTGACTATTTCACTTGTTCTTAAAAATAGTCAGTTCTAAAATCAACTTCGAGAAACAAGTATAATAAGAGTTCATTTTTTGGTACATACCGTGCTATTTTTTGAAGTAAATATTTTTAAGGCTTTAAAATTATTACATAAAGCAATGTAACACCATGTCTAAAACTCTGCTTATAACACCATTTTTATGGTAATAATAACGATTTTTAGTACACATATGTGTATTCATTTAATTATAGAAAAGTATATCGAAAAGTAATCAAAACAATAAATTTTAAAATGATTAAATACAAAAATGCAAATATATAGTTAACCATATGTCATTATGTTTTTAAATATAATTCTTTTCTTTCTTTTGTTTATCATGATTTATCATGATTAATATTGCAGCATAATATTTGTATTTCTCATATATTTAATTACCAAACAACTTAATGTGTTCGTTAATTTTCATCGTTGAAATTATGGTCAGTCTTTGGAAATAATAGCCAAAAATTTTAATAGAACATTTCCAACTACGCTGAAATAATACTTTATGTGAAATGGTTGACAATCGAAATTATGTATAAATAGGAAATTAAAGTTTAACGTTTATAATCATTATCTTTCTAAGTATAAAATCTCATTTTTACAAAAGTATTAAGGATCAGTATGAGACTTGAATCATAGTTTTCTAACGTACGTGTAATACATATTTTATAAACACAATTCCACAGCATTGTAATGACGATTCATATTAAAATTAATGTATTGCGCATTTTCAAATTTTATGAATTTCAAAATACATTAATATAAATGAAACTGTTTACCACGCAAAAATACAAATATTTACTTTTTCAAAAACTTCGAGGCTCAAATTTGATTCAATTTAAATTACATTATACTTTTCTGCATAAATCAAACACTTATGAAACTAATACATACCATACAGATTTATAGATACGAGTATAATATACTCTAAATAAATTATTATAATTAATCCAATAAACAAACACGAGATTCATCACCCCAAGGTTTTCATTTACCAAACAAAATTATATTATTATTGTTATTCTGTATAAGACTAATAAATCAGTGATACTATGAATAATTGCTTACATCAAATATTTTTATAAATATGATTTATAACTTTGCATAATATACTTATAATATTTTTGCCCTTCATAAATCCATATTGTTTGCCGAAAAATATTGTATTAGTTATAATCATTTAAAAGAAATCGATTACCTATCAAAGTTCTAGAAAAATTTCGAAAAACTTTAATAATTAATTAACTTCATATTATACGCATTCCTATATGAACACTGATTATATTCTTATATTTTTAACAGAACAAAAATAAACCAATATTTTTTTGAGTTGTATAGAGTTTAATAGTGATCTCACAAAATTTATTTATTTTTCTTAAATATATAAATCCATATGTGAAATTATTTTATTTGTATCAAGACAATTTTTTGATTATCGAAAGCAATTTTTGTTGCACTATTTGTATCCTGCTGCCATAATATGACGTTCGTCATAGTTTCCGCTATTGTTTCATACGTTTATGCTCAATTTCATTATATAATAATAGATCTCATTTCACTGTATATAGTCGTCTCAGGAATTTCAAAGGACTATTTCGTTTCTGAAATTAATAAGATGCGATGGAAGGAACAAAGAGTAAATAGTTGTAGTGTGAATTGGTGAACAATACATAATATGACACTTGGACTATGAAAGACAGTGTTCGAATATAAGGGATGATGTTTTGATAAAAATACCTAACGGCATGATTAGATATTCATATATATGTGTATCTATGTGTGTGTAGGTGTGTGAAGTTTTGAGTATAATAGTATGAGTAAATCGACGGGTTATAGGCCAATTGAATAATGAAAAATTACATTGTCCTTTAGGTCTTTTTTAATCTAGTCGGATAATTTAAGATCGTGACACGAAGCGTTACAATTAATTTTTGAAACGTTCTCTGGTATACATTTCCCGTACTGTTTGTTATAGTTGTTCTTTCGTATTTTTATTTAGTTCTCATTATTCGTGAAATTCGTGAATTTCTAACTTCACCTCATGAAAAATGTGACACCGCAGCTATTATATTATTGTTTTCTTCCTGTTCTACAGGGTACTCCTACGACGATACATAAGTTCTAGATATCGGGTTTAATGTTTTTGTGGGTTTTCTGAGTTATAATTCTTCCCTCGGTATAATTATAGGTTTATGTAAAAAATATTGAAACCCCGATGACTTGATTGAGCTATTTCGGAATAGTTGTTCAGTATAAGTATCGAGATTTCCGTGGCAACACGATTCGACTGGGTCATGTATGCGCATAATACTATTCTTCATCTATTCACTTAATATTTCGTAACAATGCACAAAGCTCACTGTGATCCATTGGTTGTCCATAGTTAAAGCAAACTTTCTCAAAAGAGAAGTTTCAGATAATTTTAACTCCTATATACCTGATATTTGAATTATATGTAATGTTATTTTTAGGCTGATAAAAATAATCGGAGTATTGTATTATAAGTAATCGAAATGTTATTGCTATAATTATATGTGATTCAATTGATCCATGTACGAGAAATGAAACCGAGTTTACCATGCGATTTAAGTTAGAAAATAAAAAAATATACAAGTATACGTATATATTACATCATACCGGTAAATATATTTATGGATATAGTACAGTAGATATAACTATATAAAATACAGAAGTACCTACGTAGTCTCTAATACGGTACTAACCTGCAAATAGTGTTCAGAAAATTCAATGAAAACGATAAACGACCGGTATCACGGTTTAATCAAACTTCGCATATTTTAGTTGTACTATGCACATCTCCGATCGAACGGCGCGAAACTTGTTAAATTAAAATTACACCACGAAAACCAACATTAATAATCAGTGAGCCCGGATATATAGTTAAAGTTGGTTGGTGTCACATACCTAACCGGAACGTTCATACATGT